ATCGTTAAAGTCACTTCATTAATTATTATATGAACACTATCAGACGGATGAAACTAAAATCAATGAATACATAAATGCCATATTCATTTACTTACTAAAAAGTAATATTGAAGTAGTTACTAGTAACTAAGTAACTCGAGTAGTTACTTGAGAAAAGTAACTATAGCAGTTACTAGTTACTACTAACTAAGTAGTTATAGTAGTTAGTACCCATGTAAAAAAAAGTAGGCAAAAGCCAACTATTAAGTACTTTCAAAAGTAGATTTTGAACAGGAAAAAGTATTTGTAAGTGAACCTTTTTTAGTACTCTTCATACTTTTTGACTAAAAAGTACTATTGGAAGTGTGAAAAAGTGATAGAAGTCACTTAGAAAAGTAAAAAAAGTAATAAAAATTAGTTTATTTTTCTGTACTAATATTAATAGTATTTTATAGTATATTTTATTTAAGAAAATACTTTTGAGTACTTCTATTATCAACACAAAAAAATAAATTAAGTGTTATTACTTTTTTTCACTTTTCTAAGTGAATTCTATCACTTTTTCACACTTTCAATAGTATTTTTTGGTCAAAAAGTATGAAAAGTATTTAAAAAGGTTCACTTACAAGTACTTTTTCTTATTTAAAATCTAGTTTTGAAGGTACTAAATAGTTGGTTTTTGCCTACTTTTTTTTACATGGGTAGTTACTAGTTACTAGTAACTAAGTAACTATGTAGTTACTTAGTTACCAGTAACTAAGTAAATATGTAGTTACTAGTTACTAGTAACTAAGTAAATATGTAGTTACTTAGTTACTGGTAACTAAGTAACTATGTAGTTACTATTTACCAGTAACTAAGTAAATATGTAGTTACTAATTACTGGTAAATAAGTAACTACGGTAGTTACTTAGTTACTAGTAAAGTAAAGGTAAAGTCCCACCCCTATATAAAAGTCAAGTACCTATATTAATAGAAATGAATATAATTACAATAAAATTTTTATATTAATTCGAATTCATATTATAAAAAATAAAGCATTTACATTAATTTCAGGAATATTTGAGAAATTAAATGGTTATATTAATTTTAGTTGATGGTAGAAAAAAAAACATATCTCTACATCAGTTCCAGTTTATATTAGATCAATCAAACATTCATATTAATTCTGCTTAACATCTAAAAATCCAATATTTATATCCATTTGAATTGACATTTTAAAAGATGAAATACTTACATTAAATCCCCAAAAATTAGATATTGATATTAATTGCAATTTATATATAAAAAATTAAACATGTATATTACTTCTGATCAATATTATAATAGAAATGCAATATTTACAATAATTTCAATTGGTATTAAGAAAGTTAGATATCTATACTAATTATAATTTATATTATAAAAATGTAATATTTATATGAATAGAAATGAATATTTTAAAATTAGAATAGTTATATCAATTCCAAGTGATATTTTCAAAAGGTAAATGTTTATTTTTTATTACAATTCATATTTGTAAAATCAAACATTTATAATAATTCAGAAGAATATTATAAAAATAAAATATCTACATTAATTTCAAGTGATATTGTAAGTGACAGGCGTTTATTTTAGATGAAAGTAATGTGAGACATGATGAAATGTTGATTAGTGGGGTTATCGTCAAAAATTATGTGGGCAAAATTTAGAATTATGTGACAGCTGCCATAGACAGTACAGCATCAAGAGTTGGCTATTCAAAAGTGTTTTAGTATGTTTTAAATAATTTACTAAGAAATAAATAGAACGAACAAAAAATTCGAATAAAAAAAGAAGAAAAATGGAAATAAATAATTGTTTCTTTTATGGAATCAATCAATATTATACATTTGTCGAATATTTTGATTTGAATGATCAATAATTTTTGTAGCATTGCAATTTTTTATGCGCAAAATGTTAACTATTTGTTGTGCAGTAGTACCAATTCCACTGATTGGATTATATTGACTTGGTTCTAATGTTGAAAGTCGAAGAAAAGGAAAGTCAGTTTCTATGATTATTCTATCAATAATGTTTTCTTGTGCAAGTAACCATTTGTGAAACATTCTTTGACAATCATCATCATTTAATGTTATCATTGAACCATTTAAACCTATAAATCCATTTTGAAAATAATTAAGAAAATCAGAAATTATATTTAAATTTGTTTTCGAATTTATGCAGTGCCAATGTATTTTATGTGTGTGATGCAAATGTATTTTCAGCTCGTTTAACATGATTTCAAATGTATTATTTCCACGAGGGTGTGGGTGGGTGTGGGTGTGGGTGTGGGGGTGGGGGTGGGGGTGTGTGGGTGTGGGTGTGGGTGTGGGTGGGTGTGGGTGTGTGTGGGTGGGTGTGGGTAGGTGTGGGTGTGGGTGTACAGTTTTTCTAAACAAACCACACCCACACCCTATTCGCGAGTGTATATTCTTTCTTGTTCTTTATGGACTAAAATTCTTTGTCAAAATCAGCTGATATATATGTCATGCCGAAGCTTAACTTCGGCAATAAATTTTGCCGAAGTTCAACTTCGACAGAAAATTTTGTCGAAGTTAAACCTCGACAATAAAATTTGCCGAAGTTACAACTTGGGCAATAAATTTTGTCGAAGTTATTTTGCAACATTTAACAAAATGTCTTTCATCAACAAGTATGTATCATCGTGTTGAAGCATACTTTGAAACTATTCCTTTCAGCTAAACAATATTTATAATAATATTTATAGATATTTATTCTGAAGAATTTACAAATCATTTAGAAATGAAGAATTTTGTTTACTAATCTCGTTGAGTTT